ATTTTAAGATGTCATTCTCCTTATTCAAGTTATCATATTTATTAAGTAAGCTCATGTGTTTGTTATCTATCAATGCATGATATTTCCTAGGAATTTTATATTCTCTTTGTAGTTCTTATAATTCTAAATTTAGACTAGCATGCATTTTCTTCAGCTTCCTATATGCGTCATGAATCCTTTTAAAAACTTCTGACAGTTCAGTATAAGTTAAGTCACATATCTCTTCTTGATCTGACTGATCAAGATTGTCGCCCATTAAGCACATCTTGGTGATTTCCTCTTCCTTTTTAGTTTCTAACGAATCCAAAGCCAAGTCTGTCCAAAAAGCTCTTTGGAATCTCTTATTGCTCTTCTTCACATTTGATTTCTCCTCGACCTTCTCCTTGTTAGGAGTGGCTTTTAGGTTTGAGCATTCCAATTTTATATGTCCAAGTTTCCTGCATTCATAGCAAATCACATCATTAGAAATCTTAATATTCTTATTAAATTTATCTCTGTTCCACTATTGGCGTCCTCTACTTCCTTTTAAGAAAGCTCCTAAATTATCTAGTCATTAAAGAAATGTCATCCTCATCCTCAGGTTATACTAGATCACTCTCCGACTCCTCTACTTTCAGTGCAATGTTCTTCTCCTATCAATGTTCACCTACATCAATCTTTCTTTGACTCACTCCTTACTCGTAGGTAATTAGCGAACTAAGAAGATTATCAATAGAGTAAACATTCAAATCTTTAGACTCTATAATTATAGCTATTTTAGCATCATATGCAGTAGGCAAACAACAAAGAATCTTATTAATCATTTCAGTGTTAATTAGTTCCCTACATAATGCATGTAAAAAAGTGACTATCTGGGTGAATCTTATGTATATGTCAGAAATAGATTCATTGAGTTTCACGCGAAATAATTCATAGTCATGTAACAAGATGTTTAATCTAGATTATTTTACTTCATTAGTCCCTTCGTAAGTAATACAAAGTCTATCTCATATGTTCTTTCCACTTTTATAAGTGTAAACCCGCATATAGTCTTCTAACTTAAGTGCATAAAAGAAACTGTTTAAATATTTTACATTTAGTTGTGCTAATTCACATTGTTCTACAGTCCAATCTGTAAAGGGTGTCTCAACTCTAATACCATCAACTAATATAGTTGGTTTTGTATACCCATCTTGAACTAAGATCCACATACGATAATCTAGTGACTGTAAAAATGTAGACATGCGTATTTTCTAAAAATTGAAAGGGATGTTATCAAATAAAGGAGGTCTAGTGATCGAGTAACCTTCTGGTGTTCCGATTTCCAAAAGTAGCCATACTTGTTTTTCAAAAAGTGGTCTAAACTTATGGTTTTGAATTAAAGCTCTGATACCACTTGTTAAATCTTGAACTGGTAATTAAAAATTACTCTTGGATTTGAAAATTTGAAACCGATTGATTCACTAAGCAAGTTAATTAAAGCTTCAAAATAAAATTTTTTAATGACAGAATTAAGTAAGCAGAAAAAAAAAATTAAATGACACAAAGATTTATAGTGGTTCGATTAAACACGACTTACATCCACTCCCTGAAGACTCCCTCTTCAGCTATTCCACTATTACCATAAGTGTCTCTTCTTTTGCCCCCACAGCAAGGCAGATAAGCCTTTACAAAACTCTCTTCCACTAATCCTCAGTGCGGCAGAAAACCGTTATCCTTTCACACTCTCTAAGTGTCAGCAGAGAACCGTCATCTATTCACACTCTCTAGGTGTCGGCAGAGAACTGTCGTCTGTTCACACTCTCGAAGTGTCGATAGAGAACCGTCGGCTATTCACACTCTCCAAGTATAGGCAGAGAACCTTCGACTGTTCACACTCTCCAAGTGTAGGCAGAGAACCTTCCTCCTTTCACACCCTCCAAGTGTCGGCAGAGTACCGGATCTTATCCGAAGATCTTCTCACGAGTAATCTGGAAAGACAAGAGGAAGAGTGATAACCATAATTATAAGGAGATTCTTACCTTTGAGTAACCTTGTGAACCCTTCACACTCCACTTGCAAGAAATCTCTCTCAAACACTCTCTCACACTCTCTCCTTTAATTGCCCTTGAAAAATCACATAGACAAGACTCTATCACATCAATTTTAGTGGACCCTTTAGACAAAAGACACAAAAAATCATAAAAAAAATAGAAGTTTTCAATTTTGAACGTACACAATTATATATTACGATTGTATGTTTGTACATACGAATAGTTCAAATACTGTTGTGTACGAACAAGTTGTGAATCAGTACGAAATTATTTCATACGCGATCATTGTTTGGTACAAACTAAGTTTTCTTTGGATGAACAGAAAAATTTCAAAGTTTGTCTGTATGAAACGTCAAGACGAATTGAGCGAGAACAGACCTTAGACGTTCGTCCCTATATAACGGTTAGATCATCCTATATAATCCAAACTTGAGAATAGACCCGAAACATTCATCCCTGTATAAATCTAGGATTGTCCTGTACGATCAAGACTTAGAATTTTTTTTTTCGTACGTTAACAAACCCTAGACGTTCATCCCTGTACGAAGGTGCGATCGTCCCGTACGAACGGTTCTTGTAAATGAACCCAAGATGTTCGTTCCTGTATGAAGGTCCGATCATCCCGTACGAACAGTTCTTATGAATGAACCCAAGACATTCATCCTTGTACGAAAGTGGGATCGTCCCATACGAACCATACTTAGAAAAAATAATTTCATTTCTGTTCGTTCCATTGCTCATTGGGAAAAATAACTGATCAGATCGTCCCGTATGAAAGTTCTATCATACAATACGATCAGTTAAAAATATGAATTTTAAAACTCTCCCCCAGTATGTGTGTTTAGTTACTCAATTACAATCACACACTCTAAGACTCAATAAAATAAAAAATGTAGATTTCAATCACAATAAACTCTAAATTAATCTTGATTTGAAGTCTTCAACAATCCAGAGTATGATTTTTCTAAAATGTTAGTACACACAAGAGCAAAATAATTCTTCCAAAATATGTTAGGAGAAATAATAATCAAGTCAATAATATTTGAAATTATAAAAAACATACAAGTTGCAAGAATATTAAACATGCAAAACTAAGTAGCAACTATCTCAACATGCCTCCCATCTCCCACTCAAATTCTGGTTAGAAGCTCTTCTCACATCCAATTATCTAATCAATAGTCTCACTTCCAAAACCCTTCACTTTGACAACCCATACAATCTCCTACATGGATACAAACCATCTTATGCACACCTCAAAACATTTGGCTATCTATGTTATACCTGGCTTCGCTCACTCTCTCCTAGCAAACTTCATCCACGTTCAGCTGCATGTATCTTCCTTAGCTATTGTTCTTCACACAAAGGCTATTGTTGTTTCAATTTACAAACTTCCAAATCCACATCTCTCATCATGTCATATTTCATGAGGATAACTTTCCCTATCTCAGTTCAAATACATCATCTTCATTTCCTTCCATCAATGATATCCACTCCCCTCTCACTCTCATTCCTATCTCCACCTTAAACACCCCACCTTCCCAAACACCTAAATCACCTCCTCAACCGATCGATCATCCCTCCACCTCCCCACCAGTCTCTTCTGCCACTTCACCCGAACCATTATCCCATTCTAAAACAGACATCACTAACCCACCCAATACCTCTACCATTCCTATACCTCTCCCACATCATCCAATGCTAACAAGATACAAAAATGGTCACCTCAAACCCAAACAACACCTTGATCTTCTAGGTAAAACCCAACCTGCCTTAACCCCAACTTGCTACACTCAAGCCGCCAAGCTACCAGAATGGAGAATGGCAATGTCTGATGAATGATCAAGTTACACTCAAGCCGCTAAGCCACCTTATATATTATTTGGCTACGAGGCCTTCTCAATGACTTTCAAGTCTCAACATCTTCTCCTACCACAATCTCATGTGACAACACATCTTCTCTAGCCTTGGCTAACAATCCCATTTTCCACACAAGGACAAAGCACATTGTGATAGATTATTACTTCATTAGAGATCACATTCTCTTCAAAGAAATAGCAGTCCAGCACATCAATTCTCTCAATCAACAGGGTGATATACTCACTAAACCGCTCTCTATACATCGATTCAAGTTACTAAGAGACAAACTTACAATTCACATCTCTGTTTATACATCTAACCTGAAGGTTGCTTCAGTATGGTGGTAAGAATAAAATATATGAGTGATATATTTTATATTAACATTTTATATGAGCGGTAGGAATGTAATATTAAAATTTTAGATGTTAGATATGTAAATAGTATGAAATAAAATAATATATAAGTGGTATGTATGAATATAGATGGGGTCATTCAATAAACAATGTAAGATGGGGTCATTCACTAAACCACGTAAGATGGAGTCATTCAAAAAATAATTTGTTATCATTTTTTTTTCTAAGACATAATAGAATTTAATCAGATACATATAAATACTTTTTCTTGAGATTATCAAAAATTTAAGTCATGCCATATATCTTTCATATATAAATCAATATTTTAAAGAATATTTATAAATCATATAAAACCACCATTTTCATGCCTAGAGTATTTGGAAAACTGATTAAAAATTTTATGTGGCCATATTTATTAAAAATTTAATTAAAATATGATTTATAATTGTTTTTAGGGGATTTATGTACATATTATTTTATATTTCTCTATTTACATGTCTGACATTTAAAATTTTAATATTATATACATACTATCTTATATTATTTTAATATCAAATATGTCATACATATTTCATCCTCACTGCTCATATATTTCATTTATACCACTCATATTTGATATGTAATTAAACTATGGATGATATGCATATAATATTAAAATTTTAAATATTAGACATATACAATGATAGATATGTAATACTCTTTTTTATTGCACATCTTTTAAAATAAATGTAGAATTTATTCTGTCTTCAGCGTCTGCTCTTTTTAAGAAAAATTTGTGCACAGTGCGTGCTGCATTCGACCAAGCACAAGCGCCAACGAATGGTGGTCAATGATCCTGTTATCTTGGACGCATGGTACATCCGAACGTCACGTCAAGGCAGGCTTCGCTAATCTGAAGAGAGAGATAGAGAGAAAGGGAGAGAGAGGAAGAGAGAATGGCTCTGCATCAGGGAGCGTCGAGGACGGCAGTCTCCGGTAGTCACTGCGAGTTAGCTTTCATGTCATCTGTCCCTCTCCGCACCACTTCGTTTGCTTTACCTTTCTCCACTTTCTATTCCTTCACTTGCTCCCCTCTTTCAATTTCTCATGACCGTCACTCCCTTCCCGTCTATTCCGAGAGTCCTCGGAGAAAAAGCCCTAAAAAGCAAAAGGTTGCTAGCTGTAAATGCTTTATTGCCTTAATTTTTATTTGAAATGGTGTTCCTAACTTAGGCATTTGCTAGCAGAGGCTGAGGGTGTCCTGCGCCAGAGTCGAGCCATTGAAGGTGATGATATCCGGTGCTCCGGCGTCAGGGAAAGGAACTCAGTGCCAAATGATAGTTGAGAAGGCAAGTTCCTTTTTCCACCATTTAATTGTGTTCGGGGCAACTCTATTAGAAGTCAAAATGGATAAACAAAGTGGATTCGACATGCTACAAACGTTGTCTTGTTGGAATAAGGCATTTTGATTTTTTTTATAAAGAAATAATAAAAATTTTACTAAAAAAATATAGGATTCACACAAGAGGTTAAGCTCATCACTCAAAGAATTATGAGCTGCCTACCTATTTTACGAGAAACATCGAGGCAATGAGTTAGATAATTAGCAAAATATACCAACCGCCGCATACAGAACTCAAGCCCAGACACTAAACTGATTCTTCAAGGCAGCAAACCATCAAGGCAATGAGCTAACTGACCATCGGCATAGACTAGTCCAACCGGGAAGGTTAACCCAGACCAGCACACTTGACTTACCATCCCAGTTATTCGAGCTCTACAAAAAGAGCATCTAATCCAACTACCATTATAGATAGTACCAAGCTACACAAGTTTTTTTATTGAACACAATTGCTGAATATCCATTCCTTAACTTAAAAAATCTAGCCAACAATGCTCTAATGCATATCACAATACCGATGAAATGCTGTAAACATTTAGCCCTACTCACCTCAGAAGACAAATCTTGTTCACCGAATTCTAGGGTAGGATAGGAACCAAAACAAATAACATCTGGGGAATTTAAACCAATTAAGGATGATAGCAGGACACAAATCAGTTTTTCTCCTGTCTGCTTTTTATTCATATCCCAAACCCGCCAAAACCTCCCCCCCTCTCTTATACTGAATTTCCAATGGTTTTATGTCGGGAATTGACATTCTGAATTTTGAATATGCAATCTTCTATTATTATGAATGCTTATTTTCTAAAGCTTTCATTCAATTTTGCCACGCTATTTCTTAACAGTATATAAATAAAGTTTAAGAAATAATTTTCTTATTGCTTAGAAATCGTTCTCATGAAGCTATGATATAGCTCTCTTAGCATAACTATTTGCATTTCTTTCAGTATGGATTGGTGCACATTTCCACTGGAGATATATTGAGGGCTGAAGTGTCATCCGGCACTGAAATTGGAAAGAAAGCAAAAGGATACATGGATAATGGCATGCTTGTTCCAGATGAAATTGTAACTGATGTAAATGCCCTTTCTCTTAAGCCATTTCTTTTTATTCAGATGAGTTGTGTCCTGCTTTGCTCTTACAGAATTTCCGTTTTCTATATATTCTAATGAAGGTTTCCTTTATAATAGATGGTGATAACACGGCTTTCGCTACCTGATGTAAATGAGAGAGGCTGGCTTCTTGATGGATTTCCCAGGACCTTTTCACAAGCACAAAGCCTTGAAAGGGTTAATATAAGACCAGATATATACATTGTGCTTGATGTATGTTAAAACTTAATGCTTCTACTGCTAGGTTTTGTTTTTGATTCATTTGTTTCTGCAGATTGTTGTCCTATGTTGTGATTCCTAGGATCCTATGATTTCTCTTTCTATTTATGTTAGGCTAACCAGTCTTCCAATTCTGTTATATTTTATATTCTTATAAATATACGCTTTTACATAATTACGAAAAGTATTTTCCTAAAGATTGTTGGCTGCTTTTGTTAGGCTAGCTAGTCTTCCAAATATGCAATGTTTTATATTCTTTTGATTATATGCTTTTCTCCTCTTTATTACAAAATTATGAATTTTTTTTTCTGTATGTTGTTCTCCTCTGTTGTGATTCCTAAGACCCTATGATTTCTTATTTATGTTAGGTTAATGATGTAGCATATCATGTGGATAGAGATAATCAAGCTAAAAGCCCAATTACAAGAGCTAAGATCAAAACTCAACAAATGATATATGAAAATGTCTAATTACAAGGGCCCAATCAAGAGCCCAATAATGAGCTTATAATTTAAAATATAATTTATATTTTATTTACTATCTAGCCATGGAATTGTTAGGTAGGGATGAGACAAATAGTCAAAATTGGTAGTGGAACTCCTCTTTAATGTCCACCAACCCATTAATTTTTTTCTTTCTTGTAACGCATATGAATATGAGCTCGTATGAATTATAATTTTCAGGTTTTAGAATGAAATAATTTTATGGAGAAGTTTTATTCATTTGCCTGGTGCTTGGTGGCTTCAAGTATATGTCTTTTCTTTGGAGAGATTTAGATAGTTCTCTTTATTTCTCTAAATATCAAAACTAAAGTTCTGTCAGACCCAAAATTTTCAGGTATGAAAATTTTAAAATTTATTTAAATATAACTTAAAACTTATTTAGAAGTCTATTGTGAACTTACTGTTAAATTAGTATTAACAATAAAATTACTGTTTAGTGAATATTAATATTTATGCTAAATATTTAGTTTAATTAAATTAAAATTCCCATTTTTTCTGAAGAGATGAATGCTAGGGCGAATAGAGTAACTGTTGATTTTGCTATCAGAGGGCTGCGAAGGAGTTGGAATTCAGTTACGTGTGTTTCACGCAAGCCTTTAAACAGACTAAGGGAGTGGGATGCTGGGATTGTGAATTCTGTGTGAGTGAGAGTAGCAGAGAACGGAAGAGGGTGGGTCTAGGGAGCTGCCTTGCTAGGGAGGAAGCTTGCTTGCAAATCAACACTATATAATTCGACAATTCCTAATATGTGGTGAAGGTAAGGGATGCAACGAGTGAAGAGTGAATTTTCTGTGGAGGAAAAAAAAGAAGAAGGAAAAGAGGTAAGCAAGTTGACTTTATTGAAGTGGCCTGATAGATTTCCAAAGGTTAGTACTAGTTTCTAAAGAAGATTTGTTCCAATTGTATTGTAGAAATTCAACTAGTTTATACAGAGGGGAGGTTTTGAGATAAGTTACCAAAGGAAAAGGGCACGAGATGTCGGATTTGAGGCGACAACTCATCAATGAGATAAAAAATGCAATTTCAATTTAAAAAGTAAATGTTGTTATTTTTATACATGTGTGCTTGTAATTAATTGAATTAAAGAGAAATATGTGTCAAAGTTAATGATTTTGCTAAGGCATGTTCATAGCTAGGTATTCAAGTATGAATAATTATATTTGAATTTGAATGGTTTATACTTAAGATTAGATCTCTGTTTAAAATTGTGCAATAAGAGACGCGCCTTGAGGCGCGCCTCTGCGCAATTTGACCCAAAACCGCCTCGAGGCTTACGCAATTCCTCTCCTGGCAGAGGCGTACGCCTCACTTGGACTGAGGCGCGTGAGGCGTACTCCTCAAATATATGCTTAGTACCGCTCAGTATATGCTCGGTATAGCTAGGTATTTGCTCGGTACTGCTAGTACATTGCTCAGTATGTGCCGTTAACAAGCTTACCGGTAGTAATTGCTTGTATTGCAGTACTGCAGTACATGCTCGTACTTGCTCGATACCGCTAGGTACATGCTCACAGGAGCTGATAAGACACATGCCAGGTACCACTCGGGAATTCCCATAAAAAATAACTTACGAACTTCAAAAAACATAGAACTTCAAAATACTCTTACAATAAAGATTAATCTTAAAGCTGAGGCGCTACGCCTCAAATATATGCTTAGTACCGCTCAGTATATTCGTACCGCTCAGTATATGCTCGGATAATCTAGGTATTTGCTCGGTACTGCTAGGTACTGCTCAGTATCTCGCTCAGTATATGCTCGGTACAGCTGGTATTTGCTCGGTACTGCTAGGTACATGCTCGTACTGTCAGTACCGCTAGGTAACATGCTCGGTACTGCTAAGGAACATGCCTGGATATTTTCCATAAAAAAAACTTACGAACTTCAAAAACAAATAGACTTCAAAATTATCTCTTACAATAAAATTTTGTCCGGGGGCGCTGCCCCGGAAACCCCCGCAGGGGCGCTGCCCCGGAAACCCCAGGGCGCTGCCCCTTGACTCGCGGCAGTCGACTTTTTGTTCTATTACATCATCTTTAGTAATAGTTGTTAGTGTTAGTCTACTTGTTCATGAGTGCATGCTTTGATTGGAAGACATTGGACTCTATAGGAGAGGAGGAAGGGGTGAGAAGATTCCCTTGAAGACCCATTTAGTGATGGGACATGATTGGATTATATATGTTCTTTCTTAATTGTACTTTGGGAGTTTTGATAGACTAATATTTTGTGGTTTTGTACTTTGGGACATGATTTTATTGCATCTATTTTCTTACTTTCCCCTAATTTTAATTGTCATTTAGATGTTTTTATTGTATGATAGAATCTTACTATTTTTTACTTGCTAAAACCCTTAAATTCTCATTTACGCAATTCTTCGTCGGTGAGGCTTACGCCTCACACCGCCTCGAGGCTTACGCCTCGCCTCACGGACGAAAAATGCCTCGAGGCTTATTTACGCAATTTTAAACCTAGGACTAGATATAGAATGAATAGATACATATTTTCCAAATTAATCACATGTTGCAAAGAAAGCACTAAGTTATGTAATGTCTATTTATTCTTTTTTTGTTAGTATAGTAGATAAAATTCTTATATGGAAGTATGAAGTATGACAAAACAAATACAAGTTCTAAAATTTGAAGGTTAATGAATATCAAATTAAGAAAGATTGACTATGAAATAATATGATACTTGCATTGCAGGTGGGGAAACAAGGACCCCGTAAGAAGCAAAAAGAACCTATATGTATATAAAATGATATGATGTCTGCATTGCAGGTGGGGCAAAAAGGATCCCGTAAAAGGTAAAAGAGACTTCTATATAGTTCAATGTTGATAATGCTAGGCTTACCTAGGCTCCATTGAACATTCTTATGAAAGCTAATAATATGAAAAATGATAATCAGAATCTTAGAAAATTAATTATGATATTATGTACAGACTTCAAATAAAATAAAAGTTGATCTTAAAAATATTTTTTATGTTGTTTTGCAAATATTTACGAGTTGATTTAGTTATGATTTCAATAATGTATTCCCTATAATCTTGCATTTAATTTTTTGTTTAAATTACATAACTTTATGAGCTTCATAGCTCATCAGTTTTTATACTGGCTATTATTTCTGAAAGGACAAGAAAAAAGTGGAAGCAGATTAGGTTCATGTTAATGAATATTTAGGTTTTACTGTTTAACAATATTTATGTGAGTCTACATCTAAGATATATAGATTGTTAATTTATTGTGATGTTTTGAATTTTCTTAGTGGCTCTATAATTACTTTGTGAAATAATTGAGACTAATTAGGTTCTCTTATTTATTTAGAACATGTATGGTACTATGGGTGGAATATATTATGAAAATGTTAAGAAGTATATTATATATTGAGAATTATTAACATTATTTTTTCTCCATGATACTCTACATTACTAGTAAGAGGTACCGTGGGGTGTTACAAAAGTGGTATCAGAGTAAGAATTAAGATTATAAGGATTTAATTATGGAAGCTTAATTAGATTTAGTGGTTTTAAGGAAGATAATTGGATTTGATTGAATTATTACACAGCCTATGTGAGAATTGTATTTTTAAGTTAGTAATAAGTCTAATTTTTGATCTTGCTTGTAATTAGCATATAAAGATGATATATTAATATGTATGCATAATTATATAAAAGTATAAATCATGATATAATGCATTTTAAATATAATTATTGAAAGGGTACCTGAGGGGACTAATGACTAGTGATCTCTGCAAGCAGGGTACCCGAGGGTCCTAAAAATATTACACCAGTTGAAGATACTACACACATAATTAACAATGGACCAGTGGCGCATGACCTTACCAGTGTAATGTCAGGAAATATGATGCAAATGCAGATGATGAATATGATGATGCAAATGATGGAAAAGATGCATTCTCTGGTAGGACATGCAACACCTAGTGTTCTATCTGCTACTATACTAGTCACTCATACAACTCTTGGTATCAGTGTAGATATAAATACAGGTGCTCATGTCAATGTGGAAGTAGACAAATATTTAAAACTCTTATAGAGTTTAAAGCCACCTTTATTTAAAGGAGTGGATGCCAAAGCTGTTGAAGATTGGATAACCAGGATTGAGAAATTTCTGAATGGGATGAAATGTCCTGGGGGCATATGTGTATCCGTTACTATTTTTATGTTGGAAGTTCAGGTAGAGTGATGGCGGAGGGGACAACATCTGAAAAAAATTGAAGAGTGAGTAATGGAGTTAATTACTTGGAAGAATTTGATCAAGTTTTTAGGGAGTGGTATGTTACTTCTTCTGTAAGGCAGGCAATGTAGTAGAGTTTTGTTAATTTAAAGTAAAGAGCCAAATCTATTATTCAATATAAAGCAGAGTTTACATCCTTATCGAGATATGCTTTTTAGCTTATCAATACTACTGAAAAATATTATAGATTTTTGAAGGGCCTTAGAGATTCATTGATATAATCTATAATTCTTTATCGCATAAAGGATTTTGCTGAATTCATTGAAAATGCTAGATTTTTTGAGCATGATATAGATATGGTAATACAAAAAGGGGAGGTTGATAGCAAAAAAGAGATTATTTGATCATAGATGTGATCAATCAAAAGGTAGAAATTTCATCAGGGTAAACAACAACAACCAGCAGGATTCCGTGCCATATAGCTTGTGCAAATTGTGAAAAGTCTCATATAGGAAACTATTTAATGAATTTAAGAAAGTGCTATTTATGTGGGAGTCGGGTCATAAAAAATTTTTCCAAAAAATGTTCAAAGAGTTAGAGAACTAAACGGTATTCAAATGATAGATCAGTACAAGGGAGCTAGGCTACCAATGAGCCAACCAACTTTTAAGATAAAAGGAGAAGCATTAGGGAAAGCGGTGAGATCAACACCAACTCGAGTTTTTTTGCTTTAATATCTCAAGAAGCCAAATAATCTTCATAAGTGGTGATGGGTACTATCAATATTTCAGATTTACCTGTTAGAGTTCTTTTTGATTATTGTGCATCTCATTCCTTTATATATGCAATATTATGTAAAAAATTACATGTTAAAACTATTGTTTTTACTCATGGTCTGAGTATTCAGTTACCTGCTAGAGATTATTTAATTGTTATTGCTTCATGTTCAGTTAATATTGTGATAGCCAATAAGGAATTCATATCAGACTTAATAGTCTTACCTTTAGTGAAGTTTGAAATAATTTTGGGAAAAAATTGGTTGATCAAATACTTTGCTACTATTGAAGGCTGGAAGAAAAGAGTTCTATGTGATTTGCCTGGAGAAAAGATATTTTATTTTCAATTTGATAAATGAGTAATTTCATCTTTGATTCCTTCTAATCAAGTGAACAAAAGTATAAGCATTGATGAATTAATTTTCTTAACAAAGTTGGAAACTACTAAAGAGATAAGTGATGAGATAAATTCTATTCTCATTGTAAATGAATATGTAGATATTTTATTTGAGGAATGAGATAGTTTGCCTCCAGAAAGAGAGACATAATTTTCAATAGATATACAACTAGGGACAAATCCAATTATAAAAATAAAAATTAAAAAATTACTTGGCAAAATTAATTGAAAAAGATTTTATCATACTCAATATATCTCCTTGGAGTGCACCGGTGTTATTTGTCAATAAGAAATATGGTTAAATGCAATTTTGTATTGATTATAGAGAGTTAAATAAGGTGTCCATTAAAAATAAGTATCCTCTCCCTAGAATTGATGATCTATTCGATTAGGTAGTAGGTGCTTTTGTGTTATCCAGAATTGATTTGTGATATGGTTATTATTAAATTAGAGTGAAAGAAGGTGATATTGAGAAGACAACTTTTGGTACCAAGTATGAGCACTATAATTTTTTGGTTATGCCATTTGGTTTAACTAATGCCCAACAGTATTTATGAATATGATAAATAGAATTTTCAGGCTTTATCTTGATTAGTTTGTAATTTTTTTTATCGACGATATTTTGATTTATTTAAAAAATGATGAAGAGCATGCATATCACTTGAAAATTATTTTGGGATTATTAAGACAACGTAAATTATTTGCTAAATATTCTAAATGTGAGTTTTGACTGAAAAAAATTTCATTCTTAGGACACGTTGTCAGTGGTGAATGTATATCAGTAGGTCTAGAAAAAATAAAAGCAATAGTGAAATGGTCAAGACCTACTAATGTGACAGAAGTCTGAAGTTTTTTGGGATTAACAAGTTATTTTATAAGATTTATAAATGATTTTTCTCAAATTATTTTGCCTTTATCTAGGTTAACTCAAAAAGATAATAAATTTGAATGGATTGGAGATTGTGAGCAAAGTATTCTGTCATTAAAGCGGTGTTTAACATCTGCACTAGTATTAATAATTCCATTAGAATTTGTAGGATTTCAACTATTCAATGATGCCTCTCTAAAAGGTTTGGATTGTGCGTATGCAGAATAAAAAGTTGTTCATATATGTTTCTAGAAAGTTAGTCTCATGAAAAAAATTATCCAAGTCATGACTTAGAATTGACTGCAGTTATTTTTCTATTAAAAATTTGAAGATATTACTTATATGGTGTATGATGTGAAATATTCATAGATTATAAAAGTTTAAAATATATTTTCACACAGATGGAATTGATTGAGACAAAGAAGATGACTGGAATTGATAAATGATTATGATCTCGACATTCAGTATTGCCCAGGAAAGGCTAATGTAGTGGTTGATGCATTAAGCATAAAGTCTAGAGAACATATAAATTGTATCTTAACTCAAGAAGAAGGATTAGAATTATTAAATCTAATAATGATTTTCCCATTCGTAGAAGAAAGAATTAGTGAAGCCCAAAAGACTAGTGTTGAATATCAAAAATTTATTGAAGAATGGAAAATATGCAAAAGAAAGGATTTCAATATAGATGATCAAGAAAGAATCAGAAGTGTGGATACCAAAAGAATCAGACTTAATTCAAGAGATTTTACATGAAACCCATAACTCAGGTTCAATCCATTCACGAAGCACGAAGATGCATAAAAATTTAAAGGCATTATTTTGGTGGCGTAGAATGAAAAGTGATGTGGTGAGAAATGTCAAGTGGTTAAAGTTGACACCAAAGACTAAGTGGTATGTTGCAATCCTTACCAATACCAGAATGAAAGTGGGAAGATATAGCGATGAATTTTGTTATAGGATTTTCCAGATCAAGACAAGGGCACGATGTATATGAGTTGTGATTGACAGACTAACAAAATCAATACAATTTTTACCTATCCATTAAACTAATTCACTTGAGAAATTAATTAAGTTGTTTTTGAAGGAAATCATTATATTACATGAAATTTCTAAGGTTATTATGTCTGACTGAGATGGACGCTTTACATCTAAATTGTGGAAGTTTGGGTACAAAATTATAGTTCAGTACTGCATTTCGTCCATAGACTAATGCTTAATTAGAAAGACTAATTCAAGTACTAGAAGATTTGCTGAGATTATGTATGCTAGATCTTGAAGGTAACTGGGAAGATCATATTCCCTTGATAGAATTTGCTTATAATAATAGCTTTCAATCAATTATCAATATGACATCATTTGCTTGAAGTTCCGTCCTCAACAAATTCCCTGTTTGTTTATTAATGTTCACTTGAATGACACGAATCATATTTTAGCATTTGTATTTTTAATTTGGTTATGCATTTATTAATTTAATGTCTGGTTCCTTCTGATTGCAACTTCTGTTCACTTTGGTCCGGTTTATATGTTCAGTTCTCTACGTTTTGTTTAAGTCCAGGTCCTTTATAAGTTCAAATTTTGGCAGCCTCCTGGTATCTCCCTTGGTTAGGAAAATTTGAGGAGCTGGGCCTTTCCCATAATGCTACAAGAGCTTTTATGGTAGGTGTCAGGTGACACCGTGGTTGTAGTTTTTCAATCTCACCACACTACGAGAGTGTGTATGGGTCTTCGAGGTACCTTTTTGAAACGAACAGTTGATTGGGCTGGGATCGGCTGTTGTAGTTTTCTGTGAAAGCAAGAGGAGAAGAGTGAAGATTGGGAAGAGGAAATCAGATCTGTTGAGATTCTGAAGTTTGGCTTTAGCAGGTAGAAGAATAAAGATTGGACTGGGGTCGACTGTTGTAGTGGTCTGTTAGTGTTTGTGTGTGGTCAGTAATAGGCTAGGAAGAGGAATGAAGAGTGAAGATCGATTGGAAATGTGAGTTGGGGTTCACGTATGGTTGAAAGGAGGAGATGAGGGTTGACCTCGGTTCAGGTAATTTGTGTAAGGTAGATTTGGGTATTCGTTCGACTGAGAGGTGCGACAAGGGCTATTGGTGATAGGGATTTGTGGGCTCGGCTAGAAACAAGATCGGGCACATGAGAGGGAGCTGCTCAGTAGTTGCGACTACTTGCGGCAAGAGGGCTCGGTCGAAGGTCGGGGTGGATCTGGTGTAAAGGGTGGGTGTGAGGTAAATCGGGTAGGGAAGAGTCGGATTGGTGTGAGGTAATAACGCGGGTAGAGGCGGATGGCTTGTGGTTTGTTGAAGTGGGATCGGAGGCTGGAGGCTTTGGTTGGGTCGCGAGTTCGGCAGAGGAGGAACGGCTTGCTGGAGTTGGACGTCGGGATCCTTGAACAGAAATGGGAGGTGGCTTGGAGGGCTAGGTTTGTGGCAGCGGCTCACTGTGGGTTTGGGGCTTGGAGATGGGAGGATGGAATTCGACAGGGTGAGATTGAATGGGAGCCTGTGTCGAAGAAGAGGAAATGAAAGCCTCGTCTACTTCCCTATTTTAACGATGAGTGCCTGAGTGCGATCGAGACGAGTGAATCGCAGGAGAAGAATTGAGCGGCGCGAGCGCCGAACAGGTACACGGAATTTCAGCAAGAATTTCGGCAGACTTTTTTTTTTTTTGGGGAATTTGAGTTGAGATCAACAAGGGATATAAGATAAGTAACATGCTAGTTTCAATAACAACTATGAAAAACCTAGGAAGATCTCTTATGTGTATTACATTTATGAACTCAATAAACTTAACAAAGTAATATCTTGCACAGCTTGACTAGCATTTCAGAACTAATTTTTTAGGTTTCTTTGGTTTAGAATGATTTTATTAAGATCTTATTTTTTTTTTTGTACTGTATTGTGTGTAACTTGTAAATTTAATTTTTATTTCATCGAAATAAATTATATTATATAGAGATTGTCTGGTATCATGCCCTTGATATGATAAATGTAAATGCTAATGAATTTGTTGCATATTTTCAATGGTCTAGGTTTAAGTCCACGTAAACACTAGTTAAAGCTTATGCAGTTTTGCATCCTGACCTTTCATATGATTTGACCTTTTAATGCTTAGGTTCCTGATGAAATTCTGATCGACAGATGTGTGGGTAGGAGGATGGATTCAGTAACCGGAAAAATTTACCATCTTAAAAACTTCCCTCCTGAGACGGATGAAATTTCTGCACGACTAACAACCCGTTCTGATGATACTCAAGAAAAGGTATTGTTAACCAAATTGCATTTTTTTTCTTCAATTTCCATTATGACATTTTGGCTCCATTTTCCGGCGGAAAACATAGGTTACGAGGACACTTAAATTTTGCAGCAACGCAACCTTAGTGAAATTGCTGACAGTAATAGACATTTTTCATTAAACTTGACTTTTTTCATCATCTTAGTTCTTCATTGAATTTCGTTATTGATGCTCTGACTTTCCTTGAATCGGCTTGCACTGAATATTGCAATTTTAACCAACCTCAAATTTCTGTCAATGCAGTTACTTTGTCTTGTTGTTTTCTATCATTTTGGAAGCAGTACTTTTAACATGTCCTTTTGATTTACGATATGATACTAACTTCTACCGTCTGATATTGGTAGGTTGTCTCACGTCTTGAGACATATAAGAGAAATGCAGAAGCTATCCTGTCTACGTACTTGGACTTGTTAAAGAAGGTTTTTCCTTTCATCTACTTCATCAAGATAATGTACATGTCCAGTTTTCTATTAAAAAATAATTTGCTAGTTTGTTGAGTTTACTAACTCGTACTAGGATTTAGATTGATGGGAACCGCCCGAAAGAACTTGTATTTGAAGAAATTGACTCCTTATTACAGCAATTTCAAACTGATGTTGCCAAGTCAAAGAAGCTGAGCACTGTTGAAGGTTGGTGTATGATGTTTATCAGCCTGAGATAAGATTCATATGTTACAACGTTTAGCTTTAAGATTCAAATTATTTAAGACGATGATTATATAGCACTTCATGAGGATTGAGCCTTTTGTTTATTGTGGGATTTGTTACTGACGTGAAGCTTGTATGTTTATCTCGCAAGTGCAGAGTTCATCTTGCTAGAAGTTTTTCCAGAAAGACTAACTAAACATGTTGAATACTGTTCCATAAAAACTTTATTCTTGTTCTTTCAACTTATCAAAAGTGTCATACCAGCCAGAATCTTCAAACAGGCTATTGCTTTAGCATATTGTGCATATCAATCTATTCTGGATTGGAAAACCTGACAACAATATCGATCTGTGTCATATTCTACCCTAGAAACTAGACTAGATGCATGATTGAGGAGAATGAGTATGAAAACCCTTCCTCTCCAAACCAAGATATTAATGGTATATTGGTATGAGATGTTCTGATAATCAAGGCTACCCAAGTGATAAAAGAAGCTATATAGACTGGAAACTAGAGAGAGATACACTTGAGGGAGGAATTCTGAATTATAAGCTTAACTAAAGTACCCAATTTGCCAACTTTTAATTTGTCAATTTACTGAAATGGCTTGACATGTTTCTTTTGAACCCAAAAGAGATCTTCACCGTTCTAAATGAATTATTCTTAACTAATTGACAAAATCAAATCAAAGCCAAAGCTTGTTAAGCGATTTTAATTTGGATGTTTGGGACATAATCCTTGTTCATCCCAATCCTTTTTTACCATGTTTGATAGGTCAATTTAATCAAATGAGTGAATATAGCTCATTTGAGCTAAGTGGGGTTCAGATGAATTTAAACCTACTTAATAATTAAATCACTTGATCAATTCAATTCCAATTAACACTTAGCACACTAAGCTAGTCTACACAGCTGGAATTTACTTTAAGGCCATTAACTTAAAGTTTACCGTGGGTTATACTAGGGTAACTAAAGATAAGTGTAAGTACGCTCATCCAATTAAAATTTTCCAAATTTCTCTTAAGTACAACCCAAGTTTCACTAGCATAAATACCTGCCTATGCTCTAAATTTTCTTGGAGATAAAGATCTATTTTAGATGGGGTTAATTCCTCCCAATCATGGTCTAGTTGTGGTGACCCATTGTGATGCAAGCACACTAGTTAAGCCAATGTCACGACCCGGCCCGGATGCTCGATCTAACGAGGCGGGTACGAAAAGTCAGACGATAGTACATTTCCATCAATATAATAATAACTCATCATCAAAAAACTTTTCTATTAACTGAAGAGCCACTAAAAAAATCATAATTTACCTGTTGTCATTTGCACGACGTCTTCTATAAACATGTTATTCTCTTTATGCTATTTCTTTTCTTAGGAACTTACCTGAAACATTTAAACTCGTGGGTTGAGTTTACTAAGTAAACCTAGTGGGTAATCATTAACTATTAACATAAAAATTATCATACAGTTTATTTGTTTTGCAAGTCTATTCATTTAATAAGTAGCAAACTTTTCTTTAATTTCTATTCATTTTATTTCATACGGTCTATTATGCACATTATAACATTTCCATTTACATACGTAAAAGATTTACTTTAATATACACCCCTTTTCCCATTTAATTGTACAGGAGCACCGTTTCTATGTACCAAAGGTACATTCATTTCCATTTCCTTTTCCATTTTCATTTCCATTTCCATTTCTCATGCACGGGTACATTGCTTCCCCAGCCAGTACCATACGGGGGTTACTCCTATGCTTTTCATGTATATTCATTTTCTTTTCATTTATTTTTCATACATTCATGTAAAATGCATTTATATACATATATACTTAATAATTGCATGTACGAATCATATACATATGTATGATTGCTTTCTTAACTTTACTTTCTATTTCTTTGACATACTCGTTTATACATATTATTTTTCTTTCACATAATTGTATTCGTACATACCGTTGCTTATTTCAGTAATTATTTCCAAGAGTAGTAGAAATCATAAATCTAAACAATTTCATATATACTTCTTTCAAAAAATGAAAATAGAAATGAAATAAAGAAATTTAACTTTTATAATTACTCACTTTGAACTCTTCAGGCCTTTGATGTTTAATATAACCTTGAATCAAATTTCCTCTCTGTTGCATCCTCGTGGGTTCAATTCTTACGATTTGATCTCTCCTTTCCAAAAACCCTAAATTCCTACAATGACTTCATATCAAAATAATATTCTGCTTTAATAACAAAATTTTATTAAAAACCTTATGAGAAGAAATTCACTTACAATTTTCGAATGGAAACTTCTCAAACTCCCAAAAATCTTTTCTCTTGCAAATTCCTTTTTCTTCGCTTCAGTCGCTTCCTTATCCTTCAAGGAACATATCGCTCACTTTAAACGAAGTAGAAGAAGAAATTTATATAAAAATCCGAAAGAAATTCAACAAACCTTCTTCCTTTAATCCTTTTCGTCCGTTTCTCTTGTTCTTTAAATCTCTCCCAAAATAACACTCTAATAACGATAAGAATGAAAAAGAATCGTTATTTCTTATCCTAGAAGGCAATCATTTGCTAAAATTAGAGAAAGAAGAAACCTACCTTGCTCCCGCGTGAAGCCCGACCGTCCGCCCTTCTCTGTTCGCGAAACTGCTTATGTTTCGCGAATGGCTTCGACCGTCTATTAGTATAGGTTCGGCCGGTTCAACTGAACCGGCCGGGGCCGAACCGGTTATTACAATCTCTCCTTCTTAGAAAAAATTTTTGTCCTCAAAATTAAATCAAGTAATAACACATACCTTAGTTAAATAGATGAGGATATTGACTTCTCATATCAGCTTCTCCCTCCCAGGTGGCATCTCTTTCTTCCATAAAATTTTCACAAAAGGTATTGCTTTATGCCTCAACTGTTTTACATCATAATCCAATATCCTTTCTGGTTCTTCAATATATTTCAAATCAGGCTGCAAGCCAATTGATTTGGACTGGATTCTCTTGGAATCATCTGAGACATACTTCCGAAGTACTGATATATGAAACACATTATGAATTCCTTGCATATGCACTGGTAGATCCAATCTGTATGGCATATTTCCAATCTTTTCGATGATTTCATAGGGACCTATGAATCTTGGGCTCAATTTCCCTGTCTTTCCAAACGTTTGAACACCTTTCATTGGGCTGACCTTTAAGAAAACAAACTCTCCAACTTCAAATTCCACTGGTCGGTGCTTTGCATCATAATGTTTTCGTTGCCCGTCTTGAACTGCCTTTAGTCTATCTCTGATCAATCTGATTTTGTTAGTAGCTTCATCCACCAGTTCAGTTCCAATTACTTTTCTTTCACCAGTTTCTACCCAACATAAGGGTGTTCTGCATTTTCTTCCATAAAGAGCCTCATATGGTGCCATTCCAATGCTAGCTTGAAAACTGTTGTTGTAAGCAAATTCAATCAATGGTGTGTGAGTTTTCAAATTTCCTCTAAAATCTAAAACACATAATCGCATTAAATCATCCAAAGCCTGAATCGTTCTTTCTGATTGCCCATCTGTCTGTAGATGAAATGCTGTACTGGAAGTCAATCGGGTGCCCAAAGCTTCTTGAATTTTCTTCCACAATTTAGAAGTGAAACGGGAATATTTGTCTGAAACAATAGATTTTGGAATTCCATGCAATCTCACAATTTCATCAACATATAATTTTGCCAATTTCTCTACTGAATATGTTTGCCTGATTGGTAAGAAATGAGCTGACTTGGTTAATCTGTCAATAATAACCCATATTGCATCTCGACTCTGCCTTGACCTGGGTAATCCAATTACAAAATCCATTGCAATGTCTTTTCATTTTCACTCAGGTATAGATAAGGGTTGCACTTGACCACTTGGCTTTTGATATTCTGCTTTGATCACCTGACAAGGAATACATTTTGCTACAAATTCTGCAACACTTCTCTTTAATCCTGGCCATCAAAACAAACCTTTGAGTTCCTGATACATCTTTGTACTGCTCGGGTGAATTTCATATGTTGAGAAGTGAGCTTCTTGCAATATCTCTTCTCTTAAGCTTCCAACCTTTGGAATATAAATCCTGCCTTTATACTTTAATAACTCTTCTCCATCAATAACAAAGTTCTCTAATTGCCCTGTTTGCACCTTCTTTATGATGGTCTGAAATTTCTCGTCTTGAGACAATGCATTGAGAACTCTATCTTTCAAAGTAGATTGGATCATCAGCTGATCCAACATCATATCTTTTATCTCTTTTTGATTTACCACTGAAATATCTAACTTTTTCATATTTCTGATGATTTGCTCCTGTTGGGTGATTAGCCAATTTGCATTTCCAAGTGTTTTTCTACTAAGTGCATTTGCAACTACATTTGCCTTTACAGGATGATACTGTATGTCCAAGTCATAATCCTTAATGAGCTCTAACCACCTTCTATGTCTCAAATTAAGTTCTTTTTGATTGAAAATGTACTTGAGGCTTTTATGAT